AAGAGCAAACTACCAGAAAAGTTAGGGAAAAGCATTCCTTGTCTCTGGATCATTTTTTCCAGACTGGTGTGAGTCATGCACTCAATCCTACAAGCATTTATGAAACATCATTCAAGAACCTGGCTATGAGCCTCACAAAGGGTGTAGAAAAATAAACCCCACCCAGTTCCCAAGTTTGCAGACCTGTGAACAGCTCATTACTACAGTGTGGTAAATGTTCACCATACTCCGTGTCATCATGGGTCCCAGAATTACAGTCTCATTGTTGTCTTAATAATCCAGAAAGGTTGCATTGATGAGAATTTACCTCCAAACTCATGAACACACAAACACAGTGAGCTAGACATGGCAATCATTTCCACTATAGCTATCCCCCTGTCCACATGTAGTGGGGTGAAAATAACTAGTACATGTGGGGGCTGTACTTCCAGAGGTTCCAGGGTTTTGCATTTGCTGCTTGATGGTGGGTTACAGTGGTACTCTTTCCTAGGAAGTGTTTGGAGAATGTCACTAACACTGCTATTAACTGATCTTGCTTTAAAGAAGATAGTTGTATCGAACTGATGCTGGCACTCTTGATCCAGGGACCCAGAGGGGGTCCTGCAGTACTAGACAAGAGGGTCCTTGGCTTCATGCAGGAGAGAAATCAAATGCGAGTCCACAGAGCTTATTGGAGATAGGAACAGATACAGATGATGTGTCTGGGAGACTCAGAAAGGAAAGGAGCAGGAGTCTCCTCTTTGTTCAAATGGGAGGATAGTCGTCCAGTGTACGTGTGCTCCAAGGCATCCAGGAACCTGTTAGAACAAAGACGGGAGCCCAGGTGTTCTTCCTTGGAGGCAAAGGGTCTTGGCATCGAGATGTCTGGCCCCGGTGGTCTGGAATATGCACATGGCTTTGTGGGGTCCCTCTCATCTGGCCCTTCCTTAGATGTTATCGACTCTAGAGAAATCATTAACTCTTTATCCCTTATAAGGAGGACATTCTGAGTCTTGTGTAAAAGTGGGGTAGGGGTGCAGGTCCTGGCAAGAATAGAAGCAAGAAAAGGAGCAAAGAGCAGATTTTTATGGAGTCCTTCCATTTCCCTATCTCAGAACTCTTATTAATTATTAATAACTAAAAGTGTCAATCAAGGTTGCCAGTAGTATATGGGTTAAATATGAGTTTCACATGTCCTGAACTAGCAATCAAAACTTTCAAGGATAACTTAGATAAAAGTTCCTAAACTTTTAAAACTTCAAGTCCTAACGGCCTAAATGTTGGAATTAACAGCCTGCTGTGCACAAACTTAGAACATTTTATCCTATTGTTCCTGCTCCCAAGTTTTTTTTTAAGTTTTTGTTTTATTTACTTGAGAGAGAGAGAGCACAAGTAGGCAGAGAAACAGGCAGAGAGATAGGCAGAGAGAGAGGAAGAAGCAGGCTCTCCGCTGAGCAGAGAGCCCAATGTGGGACTCGATCCCAAGACCCTGGGGTCATGACCTGAACCGAAGGCAGAGGCCTTAACCCACTGAGCCACCCAGGCGCCCCTCCCAAGTTTATTTCAAAGCCACTTGTATGCATCTCTACACTTTGTGGTTGTTACTAATGGCTATTCACCAAGTATTTCTAACATCCTACCTTCCAGCTGTTGACTGGAATGCATTTCCTGGTCCTGTCTGGGTGGGTGGGGCCACAGTACTAGCTCTGGCCTGTGAGCTGTGAGAAACATCCTTCTGAGGTTTTCTTTGCTGGGTGGGACCAGAGCAGCCTTTTGGGAAAGTATGGAATTTTCCTTTTTTGGTATCTGTGTCTGAGTATAAGTAACCTATTGTTCAGCTGGGACTTAGGGATATTTCCTGGTGGGTCACCTGATGGGCCTGTTTGTATGTAGTGGCGGGGGTGGGGTGAGATGGTCTGGGGTTGCGTGTCCCTAAAGGTCCTTCTACCTGACTCAGGTTTCCATTGTTCAAGTTAGTTGCCTAAAATTGACCTCTATGTTGGGCACATGGGTGTTAACACTACCCCCTGCTTTTCTCGAAGTCTAACAGTATGAGGAGAAATAGAAACAGACTCTCACAGGATCTTGCCCCTACGGCCCTTTCCTCCAGCACCCTGGACAGCAGCAGGGGGGGGGTGCAGGGGGGGCGGCCAGCCTGTAAGTCCGCGCCTTCAGTGAGCTTCACAGAGGTGGAGGGCAGGAGAGCCAGTGTTCACCCTGTTTCTTATGGTCTCTATTCGTCCATTTGTTGCATAAAAGCAGACAGACTAAGCTGAAATCTTGGGCTGGACACTCACAAGCTATGTGACTTTAAGGCATTTAATCTCATGTAGAGGATGACTGCTGTTCACAGATCCTACATCTCGTAAACAATGAATGTCCTGCCCAGTAAATGGATGAACGTGGATTACATACTCAACCCAGAGCCTGTAACATGATGAACTGCTTGAACTCGTAGCTTTTCATGACAGAGTGATAAAAACAAGGAAGATCTCTATGCATGGATATGGATTGATTTTACTGAGCCAGCCAAGTGCCCCTACTACTATTTGTTTAAGAAAAAAGTTAGGGTACCTGGCTGCCTTGGTCAGTGGAACTTTTGATCTCAGAGTTGTGAATTCAAGTCCCACGGTGGGTGTAGAGATTACTTAAAAATAAAATATTTTAAAAAGTTGCAGAACAAAACAAAGATGAAGTAGAAACAAAAGAAACCAATGACCTTATATCTGTTAAGATGAAACAGGAGGGGAGGAAATGGCATCTACCTCTAAGTATACCTTTCGGTTTTTACTTTTAAAACTGTTTACTTATGTTAAAAAAAAAAGAGAGAGAATGGGAAAAACCTTAATTTTTTTTTTAAATTTTATTTATTTATTTGACAGAGATCACAAGTAGGCAGAGGCAGGCAGAGAGAGAGAGGGGGAAGCAGGCTCCCTGCTGAGCAGAGCCCAATGAGGGACTTGATCCCAGGACCCAGGGATCATGACCTGAGCCAAAGGCAGAGGCTTTAACCCACTGAGCCACCCAGGCACCCCAATGTTTTTGGTTTTAAATTCAATTTAACTATATGCCAAGTGGGTAAGATAACTATACAAGAAAAAAAACCTAATTAAGGAGTTTTTTGAAGATCATCAAAAGCTCTTTAAGATTAGTATATATATACAAATATATATACACATGCTATATATATGTACTTTGCATATATACTATCAATATATAAAGAACTTGGAAAAAGTCTTATACTAGGTTCATATCCCAAGTAATCAAAGTTAGCGTCATTTAACATGATACCCTATATATCTACCATTCATGGAACATTCCTGCCCAAAGGGTTTCCCCCTACATTTGCTTGTGGTTATGCAATCTGTCAAACACACATGGAGGGACATTTAAAAAACGTGATACTGGGGCCAAGGGGTGGCTCAGTGGGTTAAGCCTCTGCCTTCGGCTCAGGTCATGATCTCAGGGTCCTGGGATTGAGTCCAGCATCAGGCTCTCTGCTCAGCAGGGAGCCTGCTTCCCTCTCTCTGTCAAATAAATAAATAATCTTAAAAAAAGAAAAAAAAGACTTGTTTAAAAAGTGGTATTAAAAATGTCAACTGCAGGGGCACCTGGGTGGCGCAGTTGGTAAAGCATCTCTTCAGCAGGAAGCCTGCTTCTCCCTCTGCCTGTAGCTTTCCTGCTTGTGTACTTTCTCTGATAAATAAAATCTTTATTTAAAAAAAAGTCAACTGCACAAGGCATAGGTTGAAACTGTTCAGGGGTGTCTGGGTGGCTCAGTGGGTTGAGTGTCCCAGCTCTTGGTTGCTCAGGTCATGATCTCAGGGTAGTGGGACTGAGCCCCATGCTGGGCTTTATACTCTGTGTGAAACTCTCCCTCTGCCCCCTCACTAAAATACATCAATCTTTAAGAAAAGTGTTCAGAAATAATAGGAAGGATGGTGGAACAAACTGGAAAAACTGAGTTCTGCTCTGTATCATTAATGGTAATAGATCAATGTTAAGTTTCCTAAATTGATGCAAAAGAACATCCTTTTCCTAGGAGATTCTTGGCGTACTCATGGATGTAGAAAGGAAAAAGGAGACAAGGCAAAGTAAGACTGAAACTAGGTGAAAGGCTATAGCAGTTCACTACACTACTCTCTTAAATGACTGAAAGGCTCCAGAGTAAGTTTTTTTTTTTTTTATTAAAGATTTTATTTATTTATTTGACAGAGAGAGAGATCACAAGTAGACAGAGAGGCAGGCAGAGGGAGACAGAGGGAAGCAGGCTCCCCGATGAGCAGCGAGCACGATGTGGGGCTTGATCCCAGGACCCCGAGATCATGGCCTGAGCTGAAGGCAGATGCTTAACCCACTGAGCCACCCAGGCTCTCCAGTTGTGTTTTGTTTTGTTTTTTTAAATATTTTATTTATTTATTTGACAGAGAAAGAGAAAGCACACACACAAGAAGGGGGAGCAGCAGGCAGAGGGAGAAGTAGACTCCCCACAGAGCAGGAGCTTGCCATGGGGCTGGATCCCAGGACCCCAGGATCATGACCTGAGGTGAATGCAGATGCTTAACTGACTGAGCCATCCAGGTGCCCCAAGAATAAGTTTTAAAAAAGAAAAAATAGTTGCTTTTGTTTTATTATAACAGACCTAGTATATTTTTTTGTAAAAAATATCTAAATGCTTGATAGTTGAGTATACAACTTAAGTGTTACCTTCCAACTACCTAAGCAGTAGACATATGGTGACGTAATGAAAAGGCACAGGAGCTCACAACCACATTTATTAGAAAAATACGAGCTGGAAGTTCCTTTCTTTGAATGCTGAGGATGTGCTCCATGGGGCCATTCTTTGTGTTTTCATCAAACTCTGCTCAACATGCCAGGAATCCCAGCTCTCTGGATGCTCCCAGGCCAAGGGATGGCCCAGTTCCACGCCGAACCCGACCCATCGCAGGCAGTCAGGAAGCAGCGCTGCGTAAGCCAGGCCTACTGCCTGGACCCAGAGGGCTCTGGACCTGAGAACCGGGGCAGCCGCAGCGGCAATCCCGCCGGCCCGCGGAGCCTGCACTTCACCTCTTCTTCACAAACTTCTTTCTGGAAGCATTGGGATTTAACCGCCTCCTCCCTGCTCCCAAGGTGTTGTCTCGGATCCGCAGTGTAGCCGACCGGCTGGAGATGTCATTCTCTGCAAAAGGAGATACCCCAGCTGTGTAGTCAGGGGCAAACACGTCCGTTTTCTGCCTGGCCTTTCGGGACAGTCTCAGCTGAGGGAAGCGCTGGTCCTCGGTCAGATGGGGGTTGATGGCGTATTTGCCCCCTTTGGGAGTGGGAAGCGAATACTGCAAACAAGAAAGGAAAGGTCATTAGGCGGGCACCCTATCCAGACACGTCTGACCCTGTTAATGTCAAGCTTCCTGACGGCTCTGGATGCGGGCAGATGACATCAGGGGAGTTTATCAGTCACTGCTCCTTGTGCCGTGACTCCACGCCCTCAGCCAGCAATGGAGTTACCTCCAAACACAGAACTCTACGAAGCAGGTACCGTTTTCACTGGTGTGGGTAACTCTGAACCAAGTGTTCTAGGATTGAGCAAATTAGGTAATTACGGAAAATGGTGTCAAGGTATCAGGGAGGGCTAGCATGAACTCTGCTGGGTTGAAATGGAACTTACAAACTCATTTTAAAATACAGATAGGTGACAGAAAATATTCCTGTGTATAATTACATATAATCTCTATCCAACGTGGGCTGAGACATCTCTGACCTCCTAGGGCAAGGAGCCCACCCTGTGCTCAGCTCTGTGCTTCAAAACCCCATTCTCCATAAGGAATCAGAGAAAGGGCTGATTCCAGGGCAGGGACGGAACTAGAAGAGTGCCAGACCCTCTTGTGCCACAGGTAAGGCTGGGTTCAAGGAATCAGAGGGACAGTTCCATGCCAAGCCTCTCCTGGACCTCTCTGCAGATTCTGATCCTGGTGCTAAGAGGTCTTGCTCTGCCACCTGCAGGCCCGGCTTCGAAGGGAGTGGGAGAGCCGCCACTCACCCGGAGGCCCCGAGGGTTCAGCACCTTCGGGTTGCGTGAGAAGTGCATGTGCAGGCTTCCGTCGTCGCTAACGGTCACGGACACTTTCTTCAGGGTCTTGTTTCCACAATGCGAACAGAATACTCGGCTCATGTCAGATGTGGTCCTGGAGAGAAAAGGAAAGGTCTGGCACGGAAGCCATGGGGGGCAAACCCCGTCTCCAGAGCACAAGGTGAGTCATGGTCGTCAGAGGAGGAAAAGGAAGCAACAAGGAACAGGGGAGACTGAATGGCCCGGCATGCTACAGACCATGGCCGCCCAGCCTTGTGCTGCTGAGACAAGCCACCACCGCACTGTGCCAAGGGCAAAGGTGAACAAAGTAACACAGGCAGCAAGTCCATAATTCAGCTCAGAAGTTGAGCCAAATGTTGTTACGCTAGTCATGAAGTCTTACTAAACTGTTAGGCATTATTCCACGAGTTTAACATCAAAACTATCCCACAGAGCCGGCATTCTGTCCATCTGATAGATAGGGAAACTGAGGCACAGAGCCAGTAAGTGGCAGCTACAAGGCCAGGAAGGTGGCTCCACAATCAGTGCTCTCAATGGCACCTGACTCAAGTCAAAGGGCTTATTCCTGTGGCTCTTCACACCTTGCCTGGGGATGGCAGCTGGGCTGCTGGGCCAGGAGGTAGCCCAGAATGTACTAATGAATGCTGCAGGAAACACTGGCAAGCTGCTACGGCTGGATGACTCCCCCGAGAAGCCAAATTCCTGACCTGCAAGTCTCTGAGAACAAACCGCAAGTGCCTCTCAACAGATGCTAGGAACTAATTATCCTGTGAAAGAAACCGTTCAGTCACTGGGCTAATCTCACAAGAACGGAGAATGTTTCTAAGAGCTGCAAAGCACGCATGTTCATTTGGGGAACTTGGGGTGTTATAACAAAGGGCAACGGGGGAAATGGGATTTCATGAAGCTTCACTGTCCTAGGCCTGGTACATTTCCAAACTGAAGACTGAGAAGAAGGCAGAGGCTGGTGGTAGGGCAGGGCCCCTGGGTCACGAGTGCCTGGAGCAGTGGTCCATCTACACAACTTTACCCTCAGTGGAACAGCCCTAGGGACCCAGGAGACACCTTGCTCCTCCACGATATGATCTGTATGACGGCCACCAAATCTGGACCGAATCTACAGAGAGGCTCTCAGCCACCGCAGCGTAAGATCCCAGGGCCATGCTTCCCTGGCAAAGCTGAAGTACAGCCTCGTCCGCTCCAAGCAGGTCTCTGGGACCCTGGGCCTGCCCACAGAACGTCAGCACCCCTCCGGCCCCCCATGAGGACCATGTTATGAGCCAGAAGAGAAGGGCATGCTCTGTGAACTAACCGTTCTCCTGAGCGGACTGTGTCCTATGTTCCAGACAGCACAATCTTCTAGGACAATCAGCCCTTCTGATTGTATGCAAGAAAAATCCGAGTTCATCAACTTCTGTAAAGCTACTGCGAGACAGAATCTGGATCTGAACCTGTGTCATCCGAATCCATTCCACTTTTTTTTTTTTTTTTAAATAGAAAATCTAAACATAAAGTAGACCAAAGAGCACGACGAACCCCCAAGGGCCCCTCACCCAGCTTCAACAACCATCCATCGATGGCCGTCCTGTTCCATCCTACCCCCACCCGCTCTTCCCACGTGTGGATTATTTCAAAGCAAATCCCAGGCATCCATAAGCATCCATAAATGCTGCAGTGCATATGGTTAAATGATGAGGGCTCGTTGCTCCACAGTCCACGCCTTTAATCCTATGACTAAGATACTAAGACAGGAGGTCACTGGTGACCTCTGTCCCAGAGGTTTCAGCGCTCTGGTGAGGACAGAACCTAGGTGCATATGAAGGACAAGGGGGAGGAAAACCTACACACAAGGCCATCCTTCCAGAAACTGGCACAAAGGACAGGGAGAAAAGTGGTCCACAGAGAGGCCGTGGGTGTAGATCGTCAGCTGCGTACCTGAAACAGCCGTGGCAGCGCAGGATGTAGCTCCGGGCCTCTCGGACCAGCATGCCGTTCACGGCCAGAACATGCAGCCCCATCTGAAGCAGGACGTTCTGCAACCAATGAGCAAAAGCACCCCCCAAGTCAGCAAAACCAAAGTCTGACATCTGTATAATTACAGTGAAAGGACTTCACAAAGCCTGGTTTGGTTCATAAGGGGCTTTTGCTGAGGGAAAGATCAGGATGCCACTCAAGGCATGTAAACTAGAGCTAAGACCTAGATTTCCCCCTTGTATTTAAAGGGGCCAGGTCTTTGGCCCAGGGCCCCTCACTAAGCATCTCTCTTAACAACGACATTTATCGTGTCACCTTTAAAAGCTTAAAAAAAAAACCACACACACAAAAACAAAGATATTTATTTTGTCAAAGACAAATACACTCTTTTGGGAGCTGGAAACCTCTACTTTTTCTAAGAACCTAACTGAGAACAGAACATGAAACATACTGAAAGAGAACCAACAACAGACCATGTATAGTAAACATTAAAAACTTAATACAAGGCATATATTTTGTCACTATGTTGATTTTCTAGTTCCCAACCAAAACCACAGATAATCAAAGAGCACGTAAAGTTTCTAGAACCAGGAAAAGAGGCATCACAGAGTAGAGCTGTACATACTCCTGTGAAAGTTGTTATGAACTAGAGCCTAGGTTCGGCTGATGCCCATCCACCCACCTGCATGGCAAAGTCTGTAGTCACACAGCCAACCCGCACATCCTTTGGGACAGTGCACTGCTCTGACTCCCGCTGTATCTGCTTGATGTTGCTGGGAGTTATCCAACCGCCCCCGTCATCGTCGCTATCCTTGTCTTTCCTTTCTTCAAATCCGTTCTCTCCTTCCTCATCCTCCTCACTTGGAACATCATCATCTCTGTCCATCTGAAACAACAGAATTCACAAAGTCCCAGCCCACGGGAACAGCAGGAAGAGGCTGGCGTGCTGTCCTCGGGGAATCATACATAGGGCCTTACCAGCAGCTCCTGCAGTTCATGATCAATATTAGGCAAAGGGTTTCTCCAGAACATGAAGGAAGTGAATTCTAAGTTCTCAGGCTCACCAGCAGGCTGTCCATGTTGTACTATTTCTTGTGGGGGTTTAGACTGAGGTTAAAAGAAAAATAATTTTAAAACCTGAAAATTGAGAGGATTATGTACGGAATGATAGATGATACAAGTCAGACCTGACAGGGGCTGGACAAACTAGGATATTAGTTTAGATAAATGTGGTTCACTGCATACAATGTGTGGAGATATATAGCAAAAGAGGGCAGGAGAACATGACTTATCTAAGCAATTACCTTTGAGGGGAGATGGAAACCAGAAATGTGGAGAGGAGTTTCTGGGTGCTGACTTGATAAGCTCACTTTAACCTTTAAAAAGAAAAGAAAAAAGTGACAGCTCTAAGCAGAGAAATAAACAGTCTGACAATTGAGTATGAAGGAAAGTAAGTGAACAGAAAACAAAGTATCTTCTCTACAGTTAAAAATTGGGAAACATAAAAATAATTATTCAGTGATCCCGTAACTACCAAATAACGACTTTGGAATAGTTCTTTTTTGAAATCATTGATGAACAACATTACTTATAAAACTTACATGTATCTTTATACTTGGGATAAATGCCCAAGAGTGGAATTGCTGGGTCAAAAGATAATGTATTATTATTATTATTATTTTAAAGATTTTATTTATTTGATAGAGAGAGAGATCACAAGTAGGCAGAGAGGCAGGCGGAGGGAGAGGGGGAAAGCAGGCTCCTCGCTGAGCAGAGAGCCTGATGCAGGGCTCGATCCCAGGACCCTGAGATTATGACCTGAGCTGAAGGCAGAGGCTCAACCCACTGAGCCACCCAGTCACCTGATACTGTATTATTTTTTAAAGATACACTGTTTTAAAGCTTCTGATACAAAATATCTAACTCCTGGGGCACCTGGCTAGCTCAGTGGATAGAGCATGAGATTCTTAAGCTGACAGTCATGAGTTCAAGACCCCCACAGAATTTATTAAAACAAAACAAACAAACAAAAAACCCCAAACCTAACTTCTGCCCAAAAGGCTGCAGGAAAAGGGCAATTTTTAGGAATCATGAACTGACGGATGCCAAATAGAAACCCAGTTACTAGTCACACTGTGCTCAGTCACAGACTCAGGCTTTATGTTTCCCTTTACCCTATCTCCCTAAAACATTTCGGTGACACACAGAAATCTGTGTTTTACACATCAGTTTTAGACTCTTAGAACTGGAGGGCTCTAAATCTGGTTGAAAACATGTGAAGACAGTTCCAATTCGTACACAAATGTGAGTTTAGAAGACTTTTGATGATTTTAGAGAATATTAAGCAATTCTTAGTTAACACTATTTGAAATTAATTATTACATGAATATTTGGCTTCTAAAATCTTCTGGCCTGGGAAAAGCCAATAGGACCCAGCCACAAATCAATTAATCTCTTGAACCTAACCAATGCGGGCAAGTCCCTGAAAGCACAATAGGAACCTATAATTTTGAAAGTGGCAAGAGTTTAAAGAAACAAACAAAACAGGCAAGCACATAGCGTTCTCTCTTGCTTTTGGAAAGAAGTCTATTTAAAAATAGCAAGAACATAGCTGATTTTTACTCTATTTCTGCATTTTCCAAATTTAACCAACCCTTTCTAAAAAACCTGCAGATCAAGAGACTGAGATACTGAGATGCATTTGCTAACTGAAACATTTGAACCTTATTGGGATCGTGATCCAGACAAATGTTAAAAAAAAAATTGTAAAATAATTGGGAAATGTGGACACTAGGTAGACATTTGACAATATTAGGGAATTACTATTAATTTTGTGTAATGATTTTGTGGGTTTTTTTGCTTTTTGAGAGAGAGACCAAGAAATATCAATGAAATACAATGTCTGAGTTCAAAATCCCAAGGGCTGGGGGTCAGGAGAAATGAACCTGATAGATCATGACTTGATAAGTGTGGAGACAGAGTAATGTGGACACTGGGTCCAACTATTCCCTCTACTCCGTGTATCTGATAGTTCCCGGAATAAAAAAGTTAAAAGGAGGAAAACCAATAATCCTCCTGATTTACCTTTTCTGGTTCTTGTTTTAGGTGAGACACCCCAACAAACTCTGCTTCTAACTGATAGGTGAGTGCCAGCACTTGAATATCTGTGGCAGAGAGGCTGGGATAGTCGCCAGTTTTCTTTGAAAACTCAGTCACTGTAAAGAGAGCCCCAACTCAAATTAGAAACAAAAAGCTATATGACCTTGGGGAACCACAGTGAAAGTATGAAAAAGAACTCAAGATCAATATCCCAAGAAAACCTTCTTAATATTTTCATTCATTTCCTTTTTCTACTCACTGTTAAGACATTTGTATTCTCTATCATTAAAATTCAAGCCAGTTAGGTTTACTGTGACATCCTTATTCAGTCCAGACCATGGGACAGGAGAACAAAGTTAACAGAAAGTAACTGAAAGCATAATGTCTGCAAATGATGAGAGTTCCTTATTAAATCTGGTATTATGCTGGAATAGAAAGTATCTTCTCTGGTCTAAAATTCTTTCATTCTAAGTATAACAAGCCAGATTAATAGGATATTCAGATTCCATACTGGGATTACAAGTTAATTCTGTTAATAACTGTTGTAGTTTATGATGAAACAAAATTATTGGACTGCCCTGTAACAACTCTGCTTTATAACAATACCACTCACATTTCCTAAAAAGCAGGTATTAGCAGCTAAAATTTGTTGGACACTTACTAAGTATTAAGCACTGTACTAAAAGCTTATTTTATCCTTCAACCAAACCCTATTACCATTAGTTACTTCTCAGAAAGAGTAAGTAACCTGTATATAGCTAATAACTGGCAAGGCCTGGCTGACTCCTGACCCAGAGAGCCTCTCTGCCACCATGATCTCCTAGAACGTGGTTCTGAATCAAAGCTGGTAAAACAGCCAGACCTCCACTCCCACCCGAGTCGCTCCCGAGCAGGTAGCCTGGGACCCAGCTTCGCCATCCACACCGGGGCAGAGGCACTCACCCAGCCTCACGTACTCCGGGAAGGGCTCCTTGAAACGCAGCTCGTAGGGCAGGACGGCGAGCCGCCTGCGCGTGGCCTTATCCCGAATCTCGTTCACCACATCCCGGATTGTATAGATGTTCTTCCCGATGTCCTGCGGAAAGACCCACACAGCTTACACCCGTCCATACACGCAATGCACTGACCGACTGCCCGCACTACTTCAGGGGTCGCCAACTCGGTCCCTGCTCCTCTTGGCGGTAGCCCTCCTTACCTGCAGAGCCGCGTCTCGCAGAAAAGCTCCGGCATCCGCCACAACGTGCTCCACGAGCGCCATCTTGACGGAACGCGCCCTCAGCGCGCTTGCGCACAGAGCTGGCTCCACCCCTACGTTCCAATCTGGGCCTCTGGGAGCCGGGAGGTACAGTTGTGACTTAGCGGCGCCTCCTGGCGGCCGCATAAGCCTTTCCCAGCTCAGGGATACCCGCGCGCATGCGCGACGTCTCCAGCAGCCCTGTCAGGTGAGGGCAGGTCAAACTTTGGGAGACACTGTAGGAGGTAGGCTCCGGCGGCCCTTAGCCCCTTATTTACTTTAAAGTAAAACCTCTATGTAGTCCTATTATTACAAGTCAATACAGAGAAACTACAATTCATTTTAATATCACAAGTCTAGGAGATAGGTACTGTTTTGTGTCTAAGGGCTAGCTGCTCAGGACAGCTAGTCTCAGCTAACATGTCTAGTATTCGGTTTTAAGAAGATTAACATCTGGGGGTAACTCTCCATCTCACGGTCGTGGGTGTGGAGCCTACTTACAAAAAGGGAGAAAGAAAGAAAAGGAAAAGGAAGGAAGGAAGGAGAGGGGGCGGGAGGGGAGGGGGAAAAGGAAAGGAAAGGATAGGTAAGAATAGATTGATTAACGGACAAACCAACCCCTGAGCCACTTTCTTATCCATTATGCTCTGTTGACCGCTGCTTACGTACCCCCACTTGATTTTGAGAGTCTTTGATATCCTCGCCCACTCTCTAAGCAAGGCGCGTAATTTACTAGCAAATAAACCCTTGCGGTATGGAACTGAAAGGGAGTATTAGATGACTTCTAAATTCCTTTTGCAATCTGAGATTCTATAATTATGAGATCTGGTCTGTCAAAATTCATGCTGGAGAATTTCAGCAAAATGATGACGTGGGTTTTCTGTCATTCATCTTCAGTGTAATTGAGTCATTCCAAGCCTCCTTTGTCAAGTCTTCAATCTTATCGCTTGATTATAATTTATTCATCCCCCAAAAACCTTTCAGTGCCCTAGGCAGCTCTTTGAACAGTTGCCCAAAGCTCCTTTCTTTCTCTAAACATCTGTCTCAATTTTTCTTACCATTTATTCTCTTCAATGGCTCCTGTCTTACCTGCCCTGCCTGAAATAGCATGGTGGAAATGGAAAGCTGTTTCTTTTTTTCTTTTTTCTTTTTTTAAGATTTATTTTTTAAATTTTTATTTATTTATTCGACAGAGAGACACAGTAAGAGAGGGAACATACGCAAGGGGAGCGGGAGAGGAAGAAGCAGGCTTCCCACTGAGCAGGGAGCCCGATGTGGGGCTCCATCCCATGACCCTGGGATCATGACCTGAGCAGAAGGCAGATACTTAACAACTGAGACACCTGGGCACCCCTGGAAAGCGGTTTCTAATGTTCTAGTTGATCATATCAAAATTTTTTGGCTTTTATTTCCCAGCTTTGTTTCTTTGCAAAATTTGACACTGCTGACCATCTCCTCTTTCTGGACTGTCTCTCCTCTCTTGACTTTGGTAACACTTAAGGATCCTGGTCCCCCTGCCTCTCTGATGGCTTCCCACCCTTACTCACTGGATTTCATTCTGCCTTGCACACAGAGCACACTCCACAGAAATGTCTTGGCTCCTTTGTCCTTCTAAGTTCTCTCCTTCAGCAATACTATCTATCTTCAAGGCTTCAATTATTACATTGTAGGAATGTCTCCCAAATCTTTAGGTCCGATCCCTATTTACTTCCCAATTTAGCTTTCTGGAAACATCCATCTAAAATTTTTAGACATCTTGGGGTGCCTTGGTGGTTCAGACAGTTAAGCATCTGCCTTTGGCTCAGGTTGTGATCCCAGGGTCCCAGGGTCCTAGAGGCCAGAGTCTGGCTCCTTGCTCTGCAGGGAGCCTGCTTCTCCCTCTTCCTCTCTCACTCTCCCAGCTTGTGCTTTCTCTCTCATATATATAAATAAAATCCTTAAAAATAAATTAATAAAAAATAAAAATTTTAGACATCTTCACTCAAGAGGAAGGTTAAAATTGATGTAATTATCTCTTAACCTGCTTAAACGTTTTTTCACTCATTAGACTTCTTGTTTTTTAATAGTGGCATTTCCAACAAAGGCACTCAAGGTAAGAATCTGAGTCATCTTAATTCCCACGTTCATTTTTTAAAAAAAGATTTTATTTATTTGAGAGAGGAAAAGAGCATGGGTTGGGGTGAGGGGCAGAGGAAGAGGGAGAGAGAGAATCCCAAACAAACTCCCCACTGATTGTGGAGCCCCACACCAGGCTCAATCCCACAACCCTGAGATCATGACCTGAACTGAAACAAAGAGCTGGACCACTCAACTGACTGACCCACCCAGGTGCCCCCCACCTCTTTACCTTCGTTTGCAACCAGTATTCTCCTTGATGCCACTTCTGAAATATTTGGGATGCCTCTGACCCCTCTACATGCATCCCGTTTACTCATCTTAATCTCATGCCTAGAATATATAATCCACTCAACATTGGTATTCTTTTCTCTCCTTCTTTAATTGATTGCTCCTGTTGCCTAAAAAGGGAGGGAGAATGTGGGAACTGGACTCCATAATAGGTTTATTAAAGTTGGCAGTAATAATTCTGTAATCCCTAGAATGAAGAATGATCTAGATCAGTGGTTCTCAAACTGGAGTGTGCGTCAGAATCATCTGGAGAGCTTGTAAAAACAGATGGGTATGGGTGCCTGGCTGACTCAGTCTATGGAGCAAGCAACTCTTTATCCTGGGGTCCCAGCTGGAGCCCCACACTGGGTGTAGAGGTTACTTAAAATCTTAGGAACAAAAACGAAACCAAAAATGGATGGCTAGGCTTCATCCTCACATTCTGATTTGTAGATCTGGGCAGTGTCTGAGAATTTGCAGTTTTAATAAGTTTTATGTGCTGCTGCTGAGCTGAGCTGAGGACACACTCAAAAACCACAGATTTAGGGGAATCATGACAAAGAAGATCAGGCTTTGAGCCATTCATTTTCCGGTGAAGACTGAGAATATTTATTAATACAGAAGGTCTTTTGACACCGTGTATCTTTTGTCACTTTTTAAAACAGTATTTTAATTGCTTTTTTGTTTCTTTATAACATTAGTCTCCAAGTTCCCTAAAGTCTTAGAAGGAATTTAATTTACTCCACAAATATGTATTGGGAGCTAATTTATACCATCATGGGTTGGGTGATACAACAAAATGAGTTTGTGGCTTTGGAGCTAGATCTTGAAGGACAAGTAAGGCAGAAGCACTGAGGTATGAAAGTCCAAGTAGTGTTCAGGAAATTGAAGGTAGTATGTGTGGTAGCTGAGGACATCTGGGAGCAGGATCTCTCACAGGTGAAGTAAGCCCTGAAACACTTCAATTTTTTGAAGTTTATGGGTTTTCAGAAGTAAAGAAATCTAACACACTATTACAAAAATTATGGTCACTTTAAGCAGTTTACATTAAATTAACACTTTGAAAAACATGTAGAAGGACTCAATGTATGACTCATTTGGAGATAATGTCAAGTTTTACATGTGAAGCCCTGATGGTATTTTTTTTTTTATAACACATGAATCTGGGTGGCTCGGGTCATGATCTCAGGGTCCTGGGATTGAGCCTTGCTTCAGGCTCCCTGTTCAGCAGGAAGCCTGTTTCTCCCTCAGCCCCTGCACTCCTACTCCCTGCTTGTGCTCTCTCTCTCTCTCCCTCTCTCTCTCAAATGAATAAATAAAAATCTTAAAAAAAATAAAAGAGAAAGGTCTTACTTGTGGGCCAGTGAAGATCTGAATTCATTTCCAGGACTGGAATATGTCGAGGCTGTGGAACTATGCACTTAACTGTGGGCTAGGGGAAAGGAAAAGTTGATGCAGAAGAAACACTACGTGGAATCAATAAGTATCCCTAGAATTCCTTTGAACATTTTTGGGAGTGTCCCAAACTTTTTGTCTCTGTCTTTGCCCTTGGTTTTTCTTCTTCAGGGACATTGTGCTGGCCAGTCACTACTTAGTCTCCCAGAAGCAGTTCAGTGGTCCCTTCTGTAAACCAGTCTCTGATTACTCAAATCAGATTTTTCCCCAAGGACAGATTTGTACTTTTCTTTTTTTTTTTTTTTTAAGATTTTTATTTATTCATTTGAAAGACAGAGATCACAAGTAGGCAGAGAGGTAGGCAGAGGGTTGGGGTGGGGGGGGGGGAGGAAAGCAGGCTCCCCGCTGAGCAGAGAGCCCGATGTGGGGCTCGATCCCAGGACCCTGGGATCATGACCTGAGCAGAAGGCAGAGGCTTTAACCCACTGAGCCACCCAGGCGCCCCTGTACTTTTTTTCTTATCAAACTTAAGACATTTTAGTTCTGTTGCTCAATGAGCAGTTATTATTTCTGCTTTGCATTGTAATTAATTGTGCATTTTTAAAAAAGATTTTATTTATTTGAGAGTGAGAATGACAGAGAAAACACGAGGAGGAGGAGGAGGGATAGAGGGGGAAGCAAACTCCCTGCTGAGCAGGGAGCCCGATGTAACTTGATCCCAGGATTCTGGGATCATGACCTGAGCTGAAGGCAACTACTTAACTGAGTGAGCCACCCAGGCGCCCCAGTTGTGTGTCTTCTTTAAGTGGGGTGTGTGTGGGGGGGAGAGGGATATTTTTCCTCAAATGAGCATTTCAATTTACCTTTTAACTTTCAGGGGACACTTTTATGAAAACATACTTCAAATTTTTTGGTGTGTCTTTGAAAAACGTCTTCTATACTGTGGGATCTACAGCAATGTGTTCAGTGCTCAATAAATGTTAATGAAATCTATTCATTCACCAGTTTACTTAAAGAGACCTCCTGTGAGCCAGGCACTGCTTTAGGACTATGGCTTTGGGGATATGGCTCCTGTCCTTGTAATTTTTCTAGGGGGAAACAGATTACACACACACACACACACACACACACGCATACATTCATTTGTAAGTGAGATAGTGGTTAAGTGTGGAGGAAATATGGAGGAAAATATTAAGCAGGAACAGGGGCTGGTAGAAGGGGAAGTAAGAGATGGATTGCAATAGTTAAGCAGGCTGATCAGGAAAGGCTTTACTGTGGATAGTCGAGCAAACATTGGATGAGAGATGAGGGAGTCAGCCATCTGACTCTGAGGAAAGAGCTTTCCAGGCAAAGGGAAAATCAAGTCCAAAAAAAGTAACTGGAGATAAGATGTGGGGAGGGATCATGTAGGACCTCATAGGTGACCATATACACCTTAGGTTTTACTCCTTTAATACACACACAATTGTGAGCATGTTTGCTTAGTTCTTTTTCTTTAAAATACTTTATTTATTTGACAGAGAGACTGGGAGGGAGAGCGCACAAGCAGGGGGAGTGGTAGGCAGAGGGAGAGAAAGAGGCTCCCCGCAGAGAAGGGAGCCCAATGTGGGGCTCCATGAAGGGGCTTACCTCAGAATGCTGGGATCATGACTTAAAGTGAAGGGAGACCCTTAACCGACTGAGCCACCCAGGTGCCCCTGCCTAATCATTTCTTTCTTTTGGTAAACATCTACTTAAATGCTTCCAAATCAAGGAATTCTTTCCTAATCCCTCTGGAATAAGAAAAACTTCCTTCAGTGGAACTAGAGAAGTTTTAAAAGTTTTATAAGAGGAAATTAATATAGAGTTTAAGGTATTAAAGAGGCCTGTATCTCCATGAAATACCATCTCCTGGATTTGGAATGGGAATAGGAAAAGTAGCAGTGCTCAACCAATTTAATTTGCATGCATAATAGGATCCATCTAAATTTGAAAACCCAAAAATAACGATAATTAATTCGCAGTGCTTAAGGCTAATTAAGTGATTAGTATTAATTTTAGTTAATGGTGATTAAGAATGAAAAAACTGAGTCTTCATTCAACTTGTCAAAGCTGAAGGTCCATCCTATTAGTACAGAATGTTGATTTAAAATGTTCTTTATAATTAATAAAATTCTGTTTTGTAAATTAAGGGAATGGGGGTTAGTCTGGCGTGGTGGGGCATTTTATGGACCCCACCGGGGGTTTTGAAGCTTTCCTATCTTAGCTTTATGTCACAAAAACAGATGCTTCATAAACGGCCACTTTTGTGTTTCTAGAGCCTAGAACGGTGCGTGGTACCTACTAGGCATAGGGTTGCCAGATACATCAAGTCAAATTACAGAATGCCCAAATTTTTAGCTAAACAGCAAATACTTTTTTTGGGGGGGGTATCTATCATGGGAGTATTTAGAGTATAATACTCTCATGCAGTATTTGGGGCACGTCTACATATTGCATAGTTAATTATTCGAAATTCAAATTTAACTAGGCGTCCGTACTTACGGGGTAACCCTAAGTAGCTCAATAAATACTTGCTGACTTGATTGGCCTCCTCTCACCTGTAAAATGGGGCTAATGATAGACCCGCCTCCGGGGTTGACCGAGTGAACGAAGCGCCTGGCAGACAGTGAGCCTTCAACTAATTTGCTTACTCCGGTACCATCTGGTGAGTGGGACCCCTTCTATTTTGACATACACGAAGGACAAGAAGGCCGTCTCCCGGCCAAAGGCGCCCAAACCAGGCCTAGGTTGCCCACACCTGCGAGTCCGGCCGGCCTCTTCCGGGTCAGGTGACCGCGCGCGGTCACGTGACCCGGCCCGAGTGCGGGCGGTGGAAGGCGGAAGTGGGAGCGGAGTTGGGCGCCGCTTCTGTGGCCGCGACAGGTAGCGAGCGCCGGCGCGACGGGCGCGGAGGGTGCGGCGAGCGGGCGGAAGGGCCGGGGGCGCGGGGCGGGCGGGGGGCGGGGGACGGCGCCGGGTGGGCCGGGGCGGTGCGGCCCGGGCGCCGGGGGGCGGTGGCTTCCTGTGGGAGGGGCCTGGCTCGGCGGTTCCGGCCTCCGAGGAGGGGTGTCCCGGCTCCCGCCCGAGCGGGGTGGGCGTGCGGCGGGCCGCGCGCGGGGGTGCTTGGAGGTGGGCGCGGAGGCAGCCGGGGGTGCGGCGGCCCGCGAGTCCTGCCGGAAGAGGGAAAGGAGCTTAGGTCCTAGGGATGAAGAGGCGTGACCTTTGTGGAGGGTTCGGGTCCGGAGGAAGGGGCGACTTGGGACTGAGCTGGAACGGTGCGCTTGAGTGTTTGACGTGGAGGGAAAGGAGAAATCAGGAAGAAGATGCTGTGTGAACCCCAGCTGAGAGTCTCTTTCTTCCTTTCTCTTTGGAAATGGTTGTTACCCGAGGCTTTGATTTTGGTCCCATTCAGCTTTTAAACTTCAGGAAGGATCACAGAATCTGGATCATTTTGCTTTCGTCACACCCACTTAGTCCTGGTTGGGTAGGGTTCCACTTCTTGGGAACCTAGCCCTTCAGATCATCTTTCTTTTAGATTTTCCCAGGTCTCATCAACTTCGAGCCTTAAAAAAAAAAGAGTGAGGGCACTTTGCTCTGACCGTAAAATGGCTTTTAGCCTAAACTATCGACCACGACCTAGCCCAGCATTACCTCAGCAACAGTGACTGCAGAAATCTTGGCCAGAGTATCTGTAGTGCTTTATGACTTTTCTTCTTTCTTCGGTTTAAATTATTCAGTTTCACTTATCATGTGACTGCTTATCTTGACAAAGTGTAAGTAGGTAGGGTGACTGAACGGTCTCTTTTGTGTTTCTTAGTATTGTGATCTGAATCATGATTTTGGTAATAAATACCTGTGTAAAAGCTGCTTACCCTCTTTCTTCATGTTTACTAAAATTTGCAGAAGTGAAATGAATATGCCACATAGATGTGGTATAACTAGAGTGAATGTTCCAGTTGGACATTCACAGGAGCCGGAGTCGTTTTGGATTACCAGTAGGAAAAAAAAAAAAGACTTCGCTGACATGTTATGAGTTAAAGTTCTTGGAGTATTTTGACATTTAAAAATTATTTTCTTTGGCGGCCTTTGAGTTAGGTTGGGAAGGTATTATTCACATTTCGGAATGAACAACAGCCCTAAGGGAGAGGGACTTGTTTTTTGTTGTTGTTGTTGTTTTGTTTGTTTGTTTTAGCAGTTTATTGCTTTCTTTTTTACTGGTCTCTTTGTTCCTGCTAGACTGCACATCCTTCAAGGGTAGGGTTCATATTGCATTTGGCTCCTACCCTAGTGGCTGGATATTGTGGGCACTTGGTAAATGTTTGGTGAATAAATAACTTTCTAGAGGTCACACAGCTGTAAGTGAAGAACAAGGGATTTGAACCCAAGACCTAGCTTTTCTCTTATCAGACCATTTTCTGTGTTATTGGTCCATATGAAAATGGTCATAGGAATAAGGCTTGCGTTGGCTTCTTAATCCTTTTTACCTAATGATGACTACCTTGGTTACAAAGAGCTTTTACCAACATCTCGGGACCATGATCCTGTGAAGTTCAGGACTGTCCCTATTCCACAGATGAGGAAGGTGAGGCTTAGTGATGTTCTTGCTTTAGGTTCTAGAGCTAGTGACTGAGCAGGGACTCAAACCCAGGCCATGGACTGATTCTCTACCATTTACAGAAGGAGTATAAAGTATTTTATTTTATTTTTTTAAGATTTATTTATTTATTTATTTGACACAGAGATCACAAGTAGGCAGAGAGACAGGCAGAGAGAGAGAGGAGGAAGCAGGCTCCCTGCTGAGCAGAGAGCCCGATGCGGGGCTCAATCCCAGGACCCTGAGATCATGACCTGAGCCGAAGGCAGAGGCTTTAATCCACTGAGCCACCCAGGCCCCCCTATAAAGTATTATTTTAAAGTATTTTTTCAAGTATAGAAAGTATGACATTTTAAGGAAAAAAGAGTATATATGTCATACCAAAAATTAAGAATATGGAATGTAATTGAAGTTTAAAAAATTCCAAGAGGCACCATAGGTGCCTCTTCCTGGGAGAACATTCTTTCATTCAGTGAGTATGTAAGTGCCTACTCTTGGAGTTGCACTGTCCAGTATGGTTGCGTACTGGAGATCTGCGATGGAGTATAAAATACACGCCAGAGTTTGAAGAGTCAGTTTGAAAAAAAAAAGTAAAATATGTCATTGATTTTTTCAAATGTTGTAAGAAGCATAATATTAATAAAATACAACATATGCTACACATGGTAACATTTTAAGTTTATTGGGTTAAATGCAGTATGATTGAAATTAATCTCACCTGTATCTTTCTACTTTTTAAAATGTGTTTCCTAGAAAATTAAAAGTTATATTGGACAGTCCTGTTCTAAACACTGGGAATATAGTACACAAGAGAAGGAAAAACTCCTGCCCTTGTGGATCTTAAATTTTAGTGGAAAGGAACAATAAACAAAATAACCAAGTAAAGTGCGTATTTTATTGTAATAAAAGGGGGAAGTGGGATGTGGAGTGTTGTCTGGGGCTGCAGTTTTGCATAGGGTCTTTAGAGATGCCTTCCTGGGAAGGTGACTTTTGAGTAATGACCTGAAGGAGGTGAGGGGAGGAGCCATGGAAGTGGGGACATTGTGGTCCAGGGGGAGGGGACAGCAAGTTCAGTAGCCATAAGTAGGCGCACCCCTAGCAGGTTTGTGGGCCAGCTAGGGGGCTCCGGTGGCTGGAGGAGTGTGAGCAAGGGAGAGTAGGAGATTGAGGTCAAAGAGGTGTTGGGGGCAAGGGGAGGGATGGGCAGGTCATGGAGGGCCTTACAACCCATTTTAAGGATGATGGGTTTTAGTCAGAGTGATTGGGGTCATTGGAGGGTCTTAAGCAGTGGCTTGGACACAACCCATCCTGCCTTTGAACAGGCTCACTCTGGTTGCTGTGTGGAGAAGGAGTATAGAGGACCAAGGCTAGGGCAGGGAATTGAGTTTAGAGACCTCCAAGAGCCATGGGAAAGACACAGGATGGATAATGAGTTTTTAATGTTTAAATATTGGTCTTACCTGACATGTATCGGATGCATTTTGTTTGCCAGGTAATCTGTTGTTTTACAGATTTAAAACAAACAGAACCTCACTGAGGCGAAGTGATGTGCATGAGGTCATGTAGCTCCGACATGGAAGAACTGGGAGTTGAGTCTTGATCTTTGAGTGCAGAGCTCTTGCTTCCCTTAGTGACATACGTGGCGGTGGATACATGAACATAATCTCCCACTGGAAGCAAATCAGTGAGCTGCTTTTAAATGATTTTGAGTCACCATGGGCTGTTACAGATTCTGGAATTTCCGAGAGTTAGGAACAAAAGGGAAGTTCTTGTTTCCCTTAAAAATGAACCAATTGAATCTTTTTTAGAAAGTTGCAGGCCTCTGCTTCTCCCCATAAGGTTGTAAACAAACACTCAGTGATTTAAGTCAAGTGTTAATAACTACTTCTAGGAAAATACCAAATACTAAGGCTTGGCAGTCCTGACCTAGGGCAGGTCCCCTTCCTCTGTGTCTCCCATGCCTTTTGCTTCCTGTTTTGTTGTGCGATCTGCTTTCCATTCTCTTTTATTATTAGCCTATAATTCCACTGTACTTCCAAAGATATGACCTTCCCTGTCCCTCCCTGTTTTTATGTGCTTGGCCTTTTACCGATGTCATTTGGCAAAGTTTAATTGTGTTTGATTGTTTTTCAATGTGGGGCTTTGGAAAATGGAAGGTAACTCAATGCTGGCCAGAGAAAAGAGGCCAAGCAAGAAGAATTAGTGTTGGAAAGACCTGGGAAAGCAAGAGAGTAGGAAGGAAAGGAGGAATTTTTGAACAGACCCTTCTCTTCCACATTTTTAAAAAAGTGAATATAGAGTAGATCTGTAATTATAAGAAGCTCTGCCTGTTTCTACAACTGCCTAATTAGAATCTTGATGTCAGTGAATAGTTTTTGCCCTTCTTTGGTCCATGTGCTTCACAGGTCCTTTCATTTTGAGATCAGTGTTCAGTGGTTTCTTGACTCAAAGCTAGGTGAAGAATTTGAGGAATTGCAGAGCCTAGATTTGAGCAACAAGGCTTGTATTTTAGTTAATATTGAAGAGCACTTACTGTGTGCTAGCCGCTTTCCTTGATTGGTCTCATTTAATCCCTACAGTAATCTTAGAAGGTAAGTAATATTCTTAGGTTCATTTCACAGATGAGGAATTGAGCTTTAGGGAGGGTGAGTAACTTGTCCACTATCACGCAAAGGCTAGTGAGTGGCCCGACCTATTTGCCTCTAAAAATTGACTGGTCTGAAAGGTTCTCCTGCAGTTGGGTGAGAAAAAGCATCAGGTGCTTTAGATACTGCAAGAGCTATCCCTTGCTAAAGTTTATGCATGGTTGCTTTCTTGTGCCAAAAGCCCTTTGAAGATTTCTTTAATGGGGTCCCTCAGAGCAAGAGATCTGAGGTCCCAGATGACAGGGACCCCGTGACATTCCCCACTGTATTTCCAGGGCCTGGCACAGAGTGGGGCCTATCAGCATTATTGAAAGACTGACCCTGGCTCTGGACTGGGCAGGTTGGGATGAAGGGTCCAGAAGAGGCACAGACAGCAGGCTGCCAGGCCCTGGAAATGCAAAGGTGAATGTCAGGGGATCTCTTGGCCATTATAGTCCCCTGGTTTCAAGAATCAACCTGTCCTAGCCACCTTTTGTATCTGGAGTCACAGCTACGAAGCACAGTTTGAGCATGACCACACCTCCTGTGACTGCTGGGCTGCTTTCTTTTCGGAAGTTACTGGGGGCCTGGGAGTTGAGCCTCCAAAGAATGTGTTATGGGAAGAGGACTTTGAGTTTCAGCCTGATGTCATTTGAAATCTGGGT